GGGACAGCTTGCTTTCTTCGAGACATTGATATATTCTTGATCTGAAGATAATGCTCTAGAGATCAGTTGGGTAGCTATCCCACTTGTGCTTTTCTCTGAATGTCTGACTCCAGGGAAATGTCAGTTCAGAGCCTGTGAGAGCAGCCTCTTGTAGGTAAGATAGGTAAAGGTGCTCCGGATTAGAGGCAGGTTGATTACCCAGTCGTGTACACACAGGTGTGGAGCCAAATGGGGTTGCAGCGATCACAAGGGCAGGCCAACCACTTGCGGGACCTCACTTAGGCCTGTTTTCTGGGTGTGCTTACAATTAGGGACTCTATTCAAATTCCAGTTGTCCGTCTCCCACCCAGTGGTTTCCATTCACTGGTCCCTGTCCAGTGGTACTCATGCAGTTGCCGTTGCACAGTGGCCCCTTCCCAGGAAGGCTCCTGGGTCCAAGGGGACTCAACAAGACAAAATCAAATTCCCACCAACCCACTCACCTTTGGCTGGTCTGCAGTGTCCACAAAATTTCAGCCAAATTATCTCCTGGGTCCAAGGGGGTCTCAACAAGACAAAGTCAAATTCCCACCAACCCATTCACCTCTCAACCCATTCACCTCTGGCTGGTTTGCAGAGTCCACAAAAGTTCAGCCAAATTATCACTGGCCAGCTTGTTCCTGGATAGTTGGTGTGCCCCCAGAGAGCTCAGCCAAATTCCCACCAGTGGGCTCACCCTTGGGAACTCTCCCAGACAATTGGCGGTGCCTAAGAAAACCCAATTAGGATCCTACCAGCCTTTCTCATGGCAGATCAGTCCCACAGCAGCTCGATTGGTGGCTTCAGACGATGGCTGGCTCCGCAGTGTGCCTTTGTGTGCTGACTTAGAATCATACTGTCCAGGGCTGTTGGGCTGCATGAAGGAGTCTCTAGTGACCCTGGAGCACTGCCAGGGGCTGCAGGGTGGTAGTGAGGCCACCAGGGTATGCCAGAAGTGTGGGGGCGTGGGATGGTGGTGGTGTGGTGTCCCTGGACACAGTGCTGTGGCAGGAATGGTGGTGCAGGGCTTGGGCAGCGCTGGGAGTTAGGGGTTGCAGTCTGTTCCCAGATATTAAGCTACCAGTCCTCAGCAAATAAGTCTTCGTGCACTGCGTCGCCCTTGTGCCCCGCATCGCCCTTCGAACTTTATATTTTATTGAGTCGATGATGTATATAAACATGTTGTTATCATGTACCATCAAGTTGTAACCAACCCGTAGCTGACCTAGTGAGTTTTCAGAGGCAGTTAATTGCTCAGGAGGAGATTGCTCATCTTTCTCCCAAGGAGCTGCTGATGGATTCTAACTGCATGCCTTTTGTAACACAGTTTCTTGCCACCAGAGCTCCCTATATAAACATAGGCATTTATTATAAAATCACTCACGTGAGTAAAATATTTTATCATGTGAATGTTCACCAAAGATGATACATGACACACTCCTCCTGAAAGGCTTGTTTAACTTTTTTTAATACTTAGAATCCTGTAGAAACTTTTAGTCCAGCTATAAATTATACTCAGAGATTTGGGGAACAAATAATAGGTACATTGAGAAAGACCCATTTGTAACAGAAAAAAACAAATTTGGGTAATGATAAATAATGAAACAATGACATTGATGAAACAATTTGCTTTTAGGAATCTGTTGATAATATAGGTGAGTTGGATTTATTCTTCAGCCTATTAGAGAAAATGCAATAAATATTAGGGAACGCTGGTGGCCTAATGATAAAAAGCTGTGCTGCAATCCCAAAGGCCAACAGTGCAAAACTACCAGCTGCACCAAAGGGGAAAGATGGGCAGACTCCTCCCATGTGGATTACTGCCTCTGAAAACCTACTGGAGGATCATCTGTGGGTTGGTTCCAACTCGATAGTACATAACAATACCACCTGTAAATGAGTAAAATTTTAAACTATATTCAGTATGTTATAAATGAGAAATGACAATTTAGGAAATCTTCATATTTATAACGTCACTTGCTCAACCTACTGAAGAACTATAATGTTAGCCATAGAATACTCTGAGCTCCTGGAATTTAATGTCAGGATTGACAACTTGAGACCTTCTGGAAAAAGAACTCAAACTCTCAATAAGGATTTAATTTTATTTAAAACTGTTGACAGTATTAGCTTGGTAAGTTTTTGACTTCTCAAAGAAACGAGAGAGATATTTCTGGGATAACTCAGCAAGAATTAATAGCTTAAGCCTGAAGGAAGAGATAGAACATAATAATTGTTTAAAATATGTCCAAGACTTAAGTGATGGGCTTTTAATGTGGAGGAAGAGTCACCATGACAGGTCATAAATGTAAAAAGCTGATGATATCTCCATGACTGTGGGGCCATCCCTGGGGCCAAACAAGACAAAAAACATTGAGACACCAAGCCACGGGAAGGAGGAAAACTTCTTCAGCTCTCTGCAGGAGGGTGGGCTGACTTTAGCTCACCCTGCACACAAGATGCTTGAATGGGCAGCCCTAATCTCTGATCTCATGCCACTACAGATAGAAGAAGACAAAAGCTTCAGGAGAAAAGGTGCATGAGAAACTGCTCAAGGTGAAAACCTGATCTCACACCACAGAGACCTTAATACATGATGGAGGACAGTAGACTTTTGAGACAGGACTACATGAAAGAGTTTCCCAGAAGTCTGCTGTATGGAACAGAGACAACCTGAAGGACTTTAGGAAAGGCAAATTTTCTGAAAAAGGACTTTGGCTCATCCAAAAGATTCAACAGTTTAACCTGGCAACTAATCAATAACATAAAGAAAAGATAAGAATTACTGACAACTTATGCAGATACAATAGAAATGGCTGAACAAAAATTTCACTTAAGACAGCAACAGACAGCTTCAGACACAACATAAGCCTTCTCCAAAAAAAGC